TGTGCACATCGGTCCAAGTTATAATTTTTTCATGCGTCGGTGGCCGATTTCTTCAACTGCAGTTATCCATTGACCAACTTTCGATCATCGTCCGACCATCGGCAGTCAGTTTATTAAGTTGGTCGTCCGTCGTTGGACAATAAGTGTTTTTTTTTTGTCTTATTCATCCAAGTCATCGGTGTCCCTATAAAATAATGTGACTGCTCCGTGTCGCCCGATACTGTGTCGGCCGATCCTGTTCTTTCAGCCGACAAGACCAGAAAAATTTAGTCACCCGACCATCGGCTTAAATGTGACCTAGGCATTTGCCGATAAGACCAGAAAAATTTAGTCGCCCGACTATTGGCTTAAATGTGACCCAGGCATAAGTCTGATTGATTAACGAAAATTTCGGAACTGATGATTCCCATATTTTGAAGCAAAAATACTTTTCAACTCGTCGAGCCGCTTTCCCTCATTTCGACAATCACTTTGTTCAATTCAACAGAGTAAAACAACAATGTTTATGATCACAAATACCAATGCTGTCATTCAATTTTCAATTGTAAAGACTAGAATTATTAAAATGTCGAGAATTGTGTCTTGAAAAAAATGGGACATTAGGAGCTTATTTAAGAATCTTTTTAATGTGTTTGAATGTGTTTGTCTTTTTCATTCTTAGAAAAAATACATTTTGAAACGTTTCGTTCCGTTGTGACGCGGTGATACCCCTTATGCTTTATGTTTTAAACATCTATAAAATTACTTCAAATATACATTATTAAATTAAAATTTCAATGTTAATTAGATTTATTTTTGTGCATCTTTTGGTATATTGTATTTGATAATATGACGCCAAATTTAAAAGATATGGACACTGTGACATTACTTTTGGATCAACCCTCGTAAGTACTTCAAACTGATAACAAGAACAATGATCGTGTGACCTTGACTGAGAACCATTTGCTAAAAATTGCTTTTTAGAACTTTATTGCCGCCCGGCGCATAGTGTTTCACAAACACATCTTGTTTTAAAAAAAGATTTACCCACCTACATATACACCGACTCAATAATTTTATCCTGAATAGGGAGAGGACAAGAATATATTTTTTTTTTTGCATATGGCACTTTAATAATCAATTTGATTTATATATCAGTACGTTGTATTCTTGTGTGTCCGAAATGAGCTTTGGAAAATATTTCACTAGAAATTCAATCACACATTTTAAAATAGTATACTTTTATCATGTTTATTCATCTGAATAGAATTTGAATAAGCTTTAAGATAATTTATTTTTAAATAGATTTAGGGAAACATGTCCTGCTACATGTTTATGGGGACATGGAATAGTGAAATCTAAATTGAGTATGTTATCTATACTATGTAGTTTTAAAATTAATTATAATTTAGTTTTATTATCTGGTTTTACTTTCTTTTCATTTCTAAATTTTCCATTAAATAACTGAATTAAATATTCTAGAAACAAATTTTGTTTTTCACAGTCTTGAAGAAATCTGAAGTATTTTTCGGGACGTGAAATACCAGAATTTACCTCTGGTAATTCCCACCATTTGTATTTCCCAGGCAACCCCGGCCTGCGTATGCTTGTAGTTATATCTCGGGATTCTACATTTTAATATCACAGAACACAGTACAAGTTCCGAGACTGTGCCTAGTTTTTAAAAGATTAGATTAAAAAAAATGATTTTAGGGAATGTGTATGTTATCTCTGAATTAATTTGCTGTCTAAAAAATATTTTTACTTCAGTCACAACTTTAACAATGGACCCCCGTACCAGTGCCCAGGACGTGATGTGATGTGACCTGTGTGAGACCGCTGTGGTACAGATTCACTGTGATAAATGCATCGTCAATCTGTGTAAGGCCTGTGTGGGAGAACACATGTCAACAAGTAAATACAACGATCACAAGATCGTCAAATTTCAAAACAAGAAATCTCACCTATACCCCGAAAGTAAGAAACATGATGGACAACAGTGTGCTATGTATTGTAATCAATGTGACGTTCCTGTTTGTAAAAAGTGCGCTGCATCTGGGCAACATCTTGATCATCGGGTATCAGAAATCATGCCAGTTATGGAGAAAAAAAGTTACAGTTTTCAGAAAACAATTTGAATTAAATATGACGATTTATCCAAAGTATAATGACATTGCCTCTGATGTACAACACAGAATGAGTCAGTTAGAAAAGGATTATGAATATATCTCAACAGCAATTACAAAACATAAAGAGAATTCATTTGGCTCAGAGAAATTGACAAAATTGTCAACAAACTTAAAGCTGCAGTTGGTAAGATGAGAAAAACACGGAAACAAACTTTACCGGAAAATCTGGATGGTACAAACAAGACAATTTCTAATGTAAGTGGTAAAATCGATTCAATTGAAATTGCTTTAAACACTAATGACTTGTCCAAACTGTTTAGTGGCATATCCAACATACATATATACAGAAATCCTTCATAAATAATCGCTCATTCTTTTCCCAAATTTATTCCCAGAAAAATCATAGGTAAAGAACTCAATAAACTGTTTGGAGCGTTATCGTGTAGTTCGTTTGGTTCAGCTGAACATGGCTAAAGCAAGAAGAAAACACAGAAATCACCAGAACTTCTTTCTTTTCCTGCAGTCGACCGCGTGGCGCAGTGGTTAGAGCGTCTGCTCTAGAGTCGCGAAGTAAGGAGTCAATCCTTACGTGGCGGGTTCGAATCCCACTGCGTACGTGGAGACCGGTCCTTCGGATGAGACCGTTTAAACCGAGGCCCCGTGTCGCAGTAGGTGCTGGCACGAAAAAGATCCCTCACTGCTCAAAGGCCCTAAGTGCCGAGCATAGGACAAAATTTTGTAGAGTTTCATGATTTTTGTATTCATCTTGTTATTTTAAATATATTTGTGAGAACAGGGTGTGCCATATACAATTGCAACCCTGAAATACATAACTGAGAAAAAAGTGGAGAATATTGCCTTTTGATAGTGAAACCATTTTATGCACACTCAACAAATATCATAAAGATATTGCTACATGCATCCCTTGTGTGCTTCATTTATTCATCTTGTACAAAATTGAGTCATAGCATGAAAATAGGTTAATATACCAGGTATTAGGTAATCTTTTCTGGAATAAAACATATGGAGATAACTAACAGTATATATTCAAGATCAAAAGTCCATAAAACAGTACAGATCAGGATCAGACAAGCACAGACTTCAGTTCAACACATCAGAGGAGGGATTAGGTACCGTGAAGAAGTGAGCATTCCCACCCGCCTGGTGCTCCCTGTCTTCATCGTTAAATAACGGAAAATTTATTCGTCAATACGGTGTTAAAATAATGAAAATGGTATTCCTGTAAAAAGAAAATATTTGGTAGTAATGTTTGCGCCTTTAGCGCAAAAGATCCTGCACGCTAAGATTTATTGTGCGCTAATGGATTAAATATCATATCTTTATGTATGTGTTCAAAGCTTTCACATATTACGTACATGAACATGTAATCCGGAACGCATGATAACGTAATGTCAAAAGATCGTTTGATTTTATATACATATTAGCACTTTACATGGTAAGATCGATCGAGAAATTTCTGCCAAATTATAAGTTAATTTTTTATGCAGTTAAACTTCGTCCACTGGAGTCGATGAAACCAAGAAAAACTTCATGATATCGAGATTGAATTGGATATAGAATTAAGAAATTGTTGGGACTTATCAAGCATTCCTTGGTGTTTTGTGTGAGAAGTTGTATGCTTATGGGTTTTAGAATGCAAGGTGAATGCTAATAAAAAAAAACAACAACATTGCACTAACAAGAACAAGTAATACAAATGGGATCCAGAAGGACTTGGAATAGAAGATATTTTTTTGCAAATTTGATTTAATCATGAGGGGCTTTATCCCAACAATAAATAATTTTTAAAAGGATATTCTTTACTTCATTCAAATATCTGCCCTTGTTTTTTGTGGTTAGGTGGTTTCTATCGAGTTTGATAGGCTAAACGTTTTTCTATCCATTCTGCAATGTGGCATGATATTGTGTATGGAATAATATCTTTCCAAATCTTTCTATTGGTTCTTTATGTGTAATTCTATGTACATTGTAAATTGCTGTTCATAAAAAAGTATGTTTGGCTGTCTTTAAATCATGTGTGGTTAAACTCTCTCGACTCAGGGTAATATAATTGAGTCGATAGGGAAAATTGTTTTTTCCAAGAAATCAAATTTCAAAATATCTATTGACTGAATAAAAGAAACGAAACGGAAAACAATATCGTCTACTGGAATGAAAAAACAAGTTCAGAGTTGGCCATTTTTCGTAGTCGGTTTAGCTACCTTAGTTTCTCTGTTATAATTTTGAATCTCGTAATCTGAATAATTTACAGCTAGAGAACCTTATTTCGACCGATGGGTTATTCAACGATCTATCTTTAATGTTTATTTTATTGGGTTATATGAAATAAAGATAGGTCATAACTTTCGAAATCATTTTTCTATTCTTTTCGAATCAATATTGACACTGTATGTTCATTAGTGTTTTCATTAGCAAAATGAGTTTCAAAACACTGACTCAAAGTCAAAGCTGAAATTCTAATGTATAAAACATATCTTGCAAAAATATTTGTTATATATTGAACTCATATATTATCTCGTCAGATGGTAATAAATCAAAAAACATATTGTATTCTATGTACATTGTAAATTAAAGATCATAATGATATCAATGGCCTTTTGTTACCATAAGTAACTAGTGGAAAAGACGCTCGTCTATCAATATCAATATCATATGGTAAACATTAGGACTGATGTTCTTATGTTTTTTATCATGTTTTCATAAATGTCTAGTTCTTCGTACTGAATCAAGGTTAACGCACTACTAAAAATATTCACGTATCACACCATATTAGACACTAACAAAACCCCAAACTTTTTCTCACTATATACCCAGACATAATATGATTTTCTCAGTTTGCGTGCGTCATGGTTATTTAAGTTACATATTTAGGTATTTAAAGTACGGCCTGGCAGTACGATGAGATTCAAAGTACGGACAAGGAAGTAAATTATTAACATACATTCAGTCAGTTTAAGGGAGCCATGTTGAAGTTTCAGGTAAGACGTTATCGAAAACTATCCATTTTCAAATTTTTCTGACAACAACAATGTTTTAATTGTAAAAAGAAAGAAAGAAGATATGAGATAAGAGGATTTAGGAACTATTCCCTTTAAGATATGTTTAAAAGTGTAATCCATTTTGTCAAGACATTTTTCCACCTTCTTCAATAAATTTTGACTAACATTTAAGAAAAAAAAATAATTTATTTATTAAGGTCTTCCGTTTCCAACGGAAGACCTTCTACTGATTCTGATGATTAAGATTATTCTTATTATTCTTTTTTTTTTCCTTTTCCTAGACGCCAACTTTGAGGCCTCATATTTCACTCATCTCTGAATGGATTTTGCTCAAATTTTTAGAGTTTGTAGACGTTACTAAACTCTATCAGAATACTATCTAAAATTTCAAAAAGTCACTTCCGGTTTTGAGTTATTTCCCTTTAAACGAAAATTTATAGGCTTTCGTTTCCAGACAAAGGCTCAGAGACGGCTAAAGCTGGAGCAGAAATTCTACTGATTTTAGATAATAGAAGGATTGAAGTTGTGCATAGCGGTTTTTGTTTTTCGATTTCTCTATTCAAAACGGCGCTATATAGGGGTCAAAAATTAGAACGCCTAAAAGAGTGAAAATTTACACATATTTTGCTTTTTATCTTCTAAACTTAAAATATTTTGTTAAAACATATTGAACAAAATTTGTGCAGAATTTCAAGATCTTTCAAATGATATCTCAAAAAAGGGCTGACCCCTAGATTAAGGGATCTAGAGGGGCCAAAAGTTTTTTCCATATATCTCAAAAAGTATTGAGAATTTGTAATACATCCAAAAAGCAAAGTTGTTCAAAATGTCAAGCTTAATCTATTGAGGTCGTCAAAATTCGTCCGGTGACGTCACTTCCGGTCAAACAGGAAGTAGTCAGAAAATGCATATTTTTGCCGTTCTTGACAAGTTTTGGGGTAACAAATATCACTGGAAGCATTAAACTTAATTTTCCGTCCGTCGACATCACATCCGGTCAAACCGGAAGTAGCCAAAAATAGCTTATTTTTTTAAGATTTTGATGCAAAATTGAAATTATAAAGTGACTTGAGACGACTAAGCTCATTGCTTTCTTTTGTTGACGTCACCTCCGGTCAAAACAGGACGGAAGACCTACTCGTTGCTTTGCAACGAGCTTTGCTCTAGTTTTCATTATATTTACAGATCCATGTTATCATATGACAGTTTACCCACGAAATGGACCCACGAACCAGTGCTCAAGACTTACTCGTCTGTGACCTGTGTCAAACAGCAGCATTACAGAGTCATTGTGAACTTTGTCAGATTAACCTGTGTAAGGCCTGTGTAGGGGAACATCTCTCTGATTCATCCGTAAGACACATTGTTGTACCGTACAAACACCGGAAGACTACTCCTTCTGTTAACTACCCAAAATGTCCAAACCACACCCAGAGACATTGTGAAGTTTACTGTGAGAAATGTGACATTCCTGCCTGTTCTATCTGCATCTCTAGTAAACACGATGGGCATTATATATCAGATGTTCTGAAGAAACTCAACTCCAAAACAGAAAGTTTAAAAAGAGATTTTAAAGAGCTTGAGCAAAGAATATATCCTACTTATAAAGAAATTGAGTCAGATTTACAGTCTGAAAAATTTAACTTGGAAGCGCGATATGAGACATTGACTACAGCAGTTACCGAACACGGAGAATTCTTGCATCGTGAAATAAACAGTATCGTCAACAAACAGAAATCTGAAATTAATCAGATGAAAACCAAACATTTGACTGTTTTGAATAAACAGGGAAATGAAATGAAAAAGATTACTTCTGAAGTAGAAGATACAATGCTTGGTTTGAAGAAAATACTTGACTCCAATGATGTCTTAGCCTCTGCGTATATCTCAAGAAATGCTGAATTCATCAATTTACCTCCTAAAGTCAAATTTTCTTTGCCAATTTTCTCCCCTCATCACGGAAACAAGGAACAGCTAAATCAAATGTTTGGTTCTCTGTCAGCATTGTCCATTACAACAGATGAACATGGCTATACAATGAAGACACCAGAAGCTGCATCTTGTCCTCCAATTCAACCGCTGATTGATGAACCAGAGCTCATTATCACCATTGACACTGGGTATGATCCACTTTACAGTGTTTCCCGCCTCAGTGATGAAGAAATCTGGACATGTGGAGAAGACAAAATCATGAAACTCTACAACCTCCAGGGCCAACTACTGAAGACAATCCAAACCAAATCAGGGAACATACCATGTGACATAGCAGTGACAAGGAGTGGAGATCTAGTTTATACTGACCATGATACAAGAACTGTAAACATAGTGAAGAATGACCAGATACAGGAAGTGATCAGACTACAGGAGTGGAAACCTTACTACATTTGTAGTTCTTCCTTTGGTGACCTCTTAGTCACCATGCTCAATGACGATGACACACAATCAAAAGTTGTCCGTTTCTCTGGATCTACAGAGAAACAAACCATTCAGTTTGATAGTGAAGGTGTCCCCTTGTATTCCCCTGATTTCTTTAAATACATCACTGAAAACAGGAACCTGAATATCTGTGTAGCTGACTGTAAAGCTAGTGCAGTAATAGTAGTCAATCAGGAAGGTGTACTGAAATTTAAATACACGGGTCATCCCTCTATTTCAAAGAAATCCTTTGATCCCCTTGGCATCACAACAGACAGTCGGAGTCAGATCCTGACTGCAGATCATTATAATGGCTGTCTCCACATCCTTAACCAGGACGGACAGTTTCTACGTTTTATTCGTAGCTGTGATGTAGGTGATTTATGTGGTCTGTGCATTGACACCACAGATAACCTCTTTGTCACTGAAAGTGACAGTGGTAAAGTAAAGAAAATCAAATATATGTAAACAGGATTTTATCGAACTGACGTTTATTTGAGAGAAATTCGATACCAACTAACAATGTACATATATTGGGATTTACCACAATTCTTGTTAAAACTTTCGCTTTGTTTGTAAATATTACATATCTTTATACAATGAAATAAGGTTACATCATGGACAGTTCTGTCCCCTTGTGTATTCTGAATTTGCAGGCTCCCTGTTGTTTTGTTTTACTGTAACAGAGAGGAGTTTAAACTATTGAAAAAGCAAGTATTTCTTACAATCTTTTAATGAATAGAGATTATTATAGTCAATTTGAGAGACTGCATATTTACATAAATGTTATTTAGAATAATATTAAAAACTAGACGAGCTTGTTGCAAAGCAACAAATAAGTCTTCCATCTAATTCTGAAGACGATGATATCGAGATTGATAGACATTCACGGTTCTGTGTGCAAAAACCGAGCCATTTACAAATACTTCCGGCCTGACCGGAAGTGACGGAATTTTAACGACTTTAAATGATTTTTGCCTCTGCTATTTATTATTTTGAACAACTTTCCTTCTATGGTGCATAACAAATTGTCAACACTTTTTGAGATAGAGAAAACGTTTTGGCCCCTCTGGATCCTTTATTGTAGGGGCCAGCCCTTTTTCTTGGATATCATTTGAAAGATCATGCAATTTTACACATCTTTTGTTTTATATGTCTTAACAAAATATTTCTAGGTAAAAAGAAATCTTGGAAAAAGTGTTAAAAACTTTGAAATTCGTGATACGTCTATTTTCGGGCCATAGCGAGCGCCGACGTGCGGCACTTCCGATAAAAATGAAATACGTTATACATATCTACATACTTTGGTTTATTATATCTGAGAGTTTCGTGTTTCTATCTTGAGCCATTATTGAGAAAGTCTGCGGACAACCAGACCCTTCTAAAATCATAAAATCGACAATATCTCCAAACTGGAAGTGACGTCATCAAATCAGAAAAAACGCATAAGGTTCAAGTGATGTTACATAAGTCCTGAAAGTTTCATGGAAATCCATCGAGCCGTTTTCGAGAAATCGCGTGCACAAAATCGGTAAGAAAAAAAAGAATAACTAGAAAGTCTGCTATTGCAAGCAATAGCATATGTCGCCCCGTACTGGACAAGACTTTCATTTTAATCATCACTAAAACAAAAGTCCATTAGCTAAGTTTGAACAACCATCGAGTTGTATCAGTCCTTTCCATTGGAAACGGAAGACCTTAATTGGGTACATCCCACTTATTATTTTTAGAATCGGTAGGAGAAGAAAGTAGTGCAGGAAAATTACAAGTTCCAAAATTTGCAGTCTTGCATAAAAGAAATCTGGCAGATGAACTGAACTGAGCCTCATACTTGTTAATTGGCAGTATCTTTCCTATGATAAAAGCTTGGGAAATGTAATTTATGAAGAAGATCAGCCGAATTATTTTGTGTATTGTAACGCCAGTGAGAACTCTGAAATTTACTTTGATCCACTTGGCATCACAACAGACAGTCGGAGTCAGATCCTGACTGCAGATCATTATAATGGCTGTCTCCACATCCTTAACCAGGACGGACAGTTTCTACGTTTTATTCGTAGCTGTGATGTAGGTGATTTATGTGGTCTGTGCATTGACACCACAGATAACCTCTTTGTCACTGAAAGTGACAGTGGTAAAGTAAAGAAAATCAAATATATGTAAACAGGATTTTATCGAACTGACGTTTATTTGAGAGAAATTCGATACCAACTAACAATGTACATATATTGGGATTTACCACAATTCTTGTTAAAACTTTCGCTTTGTTTGTAAATATTACATATCTTTATACAATGAAATAAGGTTACATCATGGACAGTTCTGTCCCCTTGTGTATTCTGAATTTGCAGGCTCCCTGTTGTTTTGTTTTACTGTAACAGAGAGGAGTTTAAACTATTGAAAAAGCAAGTATTTCTTACAATCTTTTAATGAATAGAGATTATCATAGTCAATTTGAGAGACTGCATATTTACATAAATGTTATTTAGAATAATATTAAAAACTAGACGAGCTTGTTGCAAAGCAACAAATAAGTCTTCCTGTCTAATTCTGAAGACGATGATATCGAGATTGATAGACATTCACGGTTCTGTGTGCAAAAACCGAGCCATTTACAAATACTTCCGGCCTGACCGGAAGTGACGGAATTTTAACGACTTTAAATGATTTTTGCCTCTGCTATTTATTATTTTGAACAACTTTCCTTCTATGGTGCATAACAAATTGTCAACACTTTTTGAGATAGAGAAAACGTTTTGGCCCCTCTGGATCCTTTATTTTAGGGGCCAGCCCTTTTTCTTGGATATCATTTGAAAGATCATGCAATTTTACACATCTTTTGTTTTATATGTCTTAACAAAATATTTCTAGGTAAAAAGAAATCTTGGAAAAAGTGTTAAAAACTTTGAAATTCGTGATACGTCTATTTTCGGGCCATAGCGAGTGCCGACGTGCGGCACTTCCGATAAAAATGAAATACGTTATACATATCTACATACTTTGGTCTATTATATCTGAAAGTTTCGTGTTTCTATCTTGAGCCATTATTGAGAAAGTCTGCGGACAACCAGACCCTTCTAAAATCATAAAATCGACAATATCTCCAAACTGGAAGTGACGTCATCAAATCAGAAAAAACGCATAAGGTTCAAGTGATGTTACATAAGTCCTGAAAGTTTCATGGAAATCCATCGAGCCGTTTTCGAGAAATCGCGTGCACAAAATCGGTAAGAAAAAAAAGAATAACTAGAAAGTCTGCTATTGCAAGCAATAGCATATGTCGCCCCGTACTGGACAAGACTTTCATTTTAATCATCACTAAAACAAAAGTCCATTAGCTAAGTTTGAACAACCATCGAGTTGTATCAGTCCTTTCCATTGGAAACGGAAGACCTTAATTGGGTACATCCCACTTATTATTTTTAGAATCGGTAGGAGAAGAAAGTAGTGCAGGAAAATTACAAGTTCCAAAATTTGCAGTCTTGCATAAAAGAAATCTGGCAGATGAACTGAACTGAGCCTCATACTTGTTAATTGGCAGTATCTTTCCTATGATAAAAGCTTGGGAAATGTAATTTATGAAGAAGATCAGCCGAATTATTTTGTGTATTGTAACGCCAGTGAGAACTCTGAAATTTCCCTCTTTCACTTTCATTTTAAAGGTTCTACCGAAAAACGAATCTGACATGCCACCATCAATTCGAGCATTTCTGCATTGCAGAGAGCTGATGTGTGTTATGAGATAATAAATCATGTGTAAACTTTCTCAGTTTAGCGGAATCATGAACATTTTCGGCGAGATGAATGTTTTGTATACAGTGGTGATCAAGGCTTTGCGAACCATCAGGAGCGGATCAAAGAATTTAGGAATGAATAAAAACTATGGAAATGACGTACCAATTTTTTAATTTATACTTGCACTATCTAATGAAATGAATAATATACAAGTGATAGATATACAAGACAACGCGAAATGATAATAAATGCAGCTGACAATCGTTATTTTTTTTTTATATAGATAAAGTTCAAGAGACAAAACAGAAGGAGAATGAATGATGGCAAAATATCACATGACGGGAACTGAATTTTATGAATGAAGATTTTAAAAAGTTACTTGTAAGTTGTATATGTTATATCTGTGTATTCTACTTGGCTGTGTGCTTCAAAAAAAAGGGGGGTCGTCTTGAACATAGTAAATAGCCATAAGGTTTGAACGGTAAGTACTAGGGCTTTTGTATTTTAAATATGTAATCCTTGTGAAAAGAACTTTTATTGGATACGACGAACTTTGACCCTTTGACCTAGACCTTGGAGAACACATGTGTACATCTGAATCTTTTTTTCTGTTTCGTTTCTATGGCAACCGTGAGCGACTCATTACAATTATTTTGAAAGTAGAAATCACTTTGACACATTGCAAGGAATAAACATTGAAAGTTTCAAAACGATTGCCTGAGTAGTTATTGAGAAAATCGAAATTAAAGAATTTTAACTTTCACCTGGTTTTCATGGCAATAATCGATTATATGAAAATTTTAAATACGAGTTGCATAACTACAGATACTAATCATTAAAATAAGAAAAGTTTCATGACGAACGTTTAAGGGACCAGAGAGAACAGTCTCGGACAAAATTTGTCGCTTTTTACAGGTTTCCATGGCAACGGTAGACATATTGGAACTGAACGACCTCACTGCACAACTACAACCAGTGATCGTCCTTTAAGGAAAGTTTCAGAAAGATTGTCCCAGCCATCTCCGAGAAACAGCCTGGATAAAAAAAACATGCGTACAATATCAATATGTCGTCCCCGACTTCGTTCGGGGCGACATAATAAAAGTGAAAAAGAAACCTAAGAATAACAGTAAGGTCTTCCGCTGAAGACGGAAGACCTTAAAAATAAGTTGTTAAATAAAGAAATCAGGGGAAGATTACAACCACTAATTATAAACTACAGGTTTAAGAGAAATAGAAAGCTACATTGTCACTCTTTTGAAAAATTCTTAAAGTTCGATGTAAGATGTTTTATTTGAAAAAGCTATTAGTTTTACAAGTACCACGCTGAAAAAAAGAGTGTTCCACGCAACCCTCAAGTAAAACCTAACAAGTTATTAAATGACCAAGAAATAAAATTATGTTACCATTTTTTCGTAACATAAACAATGTGAAAAATTATTCGGGAATTTAAAAAGGAATAAGTTTTAATTTATAAACAAGTTATTTATAAAGAAATACATTTATTTTAATTATAAACAGTTGAAAATACTGGGGATTGAGATTTATTTCCTTTTTGTTTTGCTTTTGTTTACCTGACCGATCCTGTTGTTTTAGAGGTCCGCTCCAATTTTGTATTATATGATAGACCTTTCAGCTCAAAAACTGTTCGTTATCTCTATTTATTTCATGAAATATGACATACTTTATGATCTTTGAAAATATTCTGCACTTGAAGGTTATCATATATATTCAAGGAACTTGAAATTGATATTACAAGCAAACTAAGATTTACTTGACAT